TCTTTCTCAAGATAAAAAGAGACAAGTTTAAAGAACAGTGTGATATGCGAATCATCCTGCTGTGTTTTAAGAAATAAAAAAACCTTACATTGTATAATCACTTTGTAGTTCTGTCCATAGCAGTGATTCTGTATACCTCTTATTTCAAGAGTTTTCACTGACTACAAGAGCTATCTACACTCACGGCAGGTGAACTTTTACAAAAAAGAAGTTTTATAAATGACAAACATTATACTCTGAAGGCAGACCACCACAAGAATTCTCAAAAAAACCCTGACAGCAATCAAGCTCTGTGTGTCTCTAGACAACTCTCCTTTTCCCAGGATGCAAGGCAAGAAATGCAGTAATGGAGAGGTACCCTACCAGAATAAATTGCAGTTCAAACCCCTGTGGAGTAACAATGACAATATCTGAAAACCTAAACCAGAAGATAATAATTTTAAGGTAATAACGCATGACCAAAAGCCTTCGCATCATTTCTCTCTTCAAATGCAAATTAAAATGTAACACAGGTGAGCAGGCTAGAGATCCATCAATACATGCAATGTTTTTCTACAATGCTTTGATAATAATCTAAATTAATAATTTATCTGATGTTTTTCTAACACTTCCTGAATACGTGTGGTGAGTAGAGGTGCAACACTCAAATTAATTGGCAGTTATTGGCCAACTATGAATTTTATCAAGAGTTCTCTTCTACATATAGATAACGCATAAAAAAATTTCCATTCTCATTTTGAAGAGTTGAAGCTTCTAGCCTTTACAGTTACACAGATAACTTTGAAAAGTCTACAAGAAACCTGAAATAATTGCCTTGAGAAGCACGCACACACAATCACTCAGAACTCCTTGGACTCCCTGGCTACGCTACTGTGGAAATTTATTATTTTTTCAGCCAAGATCACAAAGCTCACTACTGCCACATCAAGGAGCCCAAGCATTTTGTCCTGCCTCTTGCCCTGCCTGTAACAGACTGCACATTTTCCACTCTAAGCAGGCACAAACCGGCTGGAAGGCAATACTTGCTGCTCATGTTGCTCCACAGCCCCCAGCGGGTGGAGAAGCAAGTCATTCAGAGAGCCAAGAGCTTACAGCACAAACTGCACAGCTAAGATGCTTAGACAACAACTCTTGCTGAGCCAGAAGAGGCCAGGAAAGCAATCCCCCGAGACTTCTTCTCTTCATAGCACTCACAGGTGTAGGGGCGTGCCGAGGTGCACTAGGCTACCAGCCTTATAATTACTGGAAGAGCAGAACCTATCAAAAAAACAACCCAAGGGCACAACAAGTCAGTCGCCTTATCTAATGTTCAAAAATGAGTTGAGGATACCCCATACTCTAGTTGAAAAGCATTTTACAAGGGTGGAATAAATGGACATTGCTACATACACAGCAGTTCTAATGGCAAAACCAAAGGGTATTGTTGCAGAATCGGTCCCGCTGCGTTAGCACACAGAGGTGACCTCGGGAGCCATTAGCGAATCTTGGGGATTACGCAAAGCATGACTAAAGTCCTAAACAAACACGCTAATCAGTTTTTCACACCTTTTACATGCTCAAATTACATATACAGAAAAACAGCGTGTTAAATACAATCTTCTATCCTTAAGCCATTTGTCTAGCTTGCAAATTAATAAAGCAGTCACCAGTTCCATCAACTCCTCTTTTCTCAAAGAATGAGTAAAAAAAATGCAGAATGACTATAGTCTTGGTACTCCCAACACATACATCGAAATATATACAGAAGGAAATCCACTTCTGTCATTTTTGAAGCACTACATCACCTAAAATGAAGTCACACAAATCATCAGTAATGAGATCCAACTGAAAAATAAATCAGGTCAACACATACTATCTGGAAGCTTATAAATTATGTACTGGTGTGTGCTCACACATTACAATGTATGCAGCAATTCAAAAAATTCCTCAGTGACTTTCCAGAAAATGGGTTACCTGAAAGACAGTTTCTCAGGCCTCAATAATTTAAAGTTAATTATTGAGAATTTCACAGTAATGGTTGAGCCTTGAAGGGTAAGAGGGAAACATCAGCAAGAGAAAACACAATAATAAATGAATCCGTTCATAAAGGCAACACCTCAAAGGCATCCTGCTTCTACACGTTTTATATAAATTCTTCCATCTTAGAAGATTTTTTTAAATCTTTAAATTACAAGCATGAGGAAACACAGATAGATTTAAGTACAGTCAGGCAAAGAATCTCATTTTTCCCTCTGAATACTACACAAATGTAATTCCTAAATTCCACTGTTCAAACTTCTAAGCAAATGTATGCTGATACTTACAGATAAAAGGTGAATTTACAGAATGGCATCCACATGAACTCAACCCAATATTTGTAAATTAATCTATTTTTTTTCTCCTTGTTCATCTCTGTTTAATCAAAGTATTTGAGATAAATTTTGGCCATCAGATCCATAAATGCAGTGGAATTTTTTTTATTTATTTTTTTTTCTCCACTTAGGCACTCATAGTGCAATTCCTTCAAACACTTGCACTGGACTGACAGGCTTTTAGCCAAGAGATAGAAAAGGATTCAGGGAAAGTGGGCAAAGTTGCATGCTCTAGTCTGTCTAAACCTTGTAGGAACTGGAGTATAAAGAT